TCATTCATGCTGAGCACTGTGGGGGACACAACCAGCTATTCTAACTTCCAAGAGCTTGCTACCTAATTGGGGAACATGAGATACAAACATCAAGTAGACAATGAACTGTCTACTTGACAGTAGCAGATAAGAGGCTAGTTTCCCGGTTCCTGGTTTATTAAATGAAAAGTAAAGAGGCAGATGGTTGGATCTGCAGGTGCTTTTAGAATTGACAGAAAGAAGAGAGAGTGAAAATGAAAACACAACTGTGCAAAACCTTTGGGATGCAGCAAAGGTGGTCCTAAGAGGGAAGTACATAGCAATACAAGCCTTTCTCAAGAAACAAGTAAAGTCTCAAATACACAACATAACCTTACAACTAAAGGAGCTGGAGAAAGAACAGTAAATAAAGCCTAAACCCAGCAGGAGAAGAGAAATAATAAAGATTAGAACAGAAATCAATGAAATAGAAACCAAAAGAACAGTAGAACAGATCAACGAAACTAGGAGCTGGTTCTTTGAAAGAATTAATAAGATTAATAAAACCCTAGCCAGACTTATCAAGATCAAGAAGAAAAGAGAAAGGACCCAAATTAATAAAATCATGAATGAAAGAGGAGAGATCACAACCAACACTGAAGAAATGCAAACACTTATAAGAGCATATTATGAGCACCTCTATGCCAACAAATTAAGCAACCTGGAAGAAATGGATGCATTCCTAGAGACGTATAAAATACCAAAATTGAAACAGGAAGAAATAGAAAACCTAAACAGACCCATAATGAGCAAGGAAATTGAAGCCTTAATCAAAAATCTCCCAACAAACAAGAGTCCAAGGCCAGATGGCTTCCCAGGGGAATTCTACCAAACATTTAAAGAAGACTTAATACCTATTCCTTTGAAGCTGTTTCAGAAAAATAGAAATGGAAGGAAAACTTCCCAACTCTTTCTATGAGGCCAGCATTACCTTGATCCCAAAGCCAGACAAAGATCCATCAAAAAGGAGAATTACAGACAAATATCCCTGCTGAACGTGGATGCAAAAATTCTCACCAAGATACTAGTCAATAGGATCCAACAGTACAGTAAAGGGATTACTCACCAAAACCAAGTAGGATTTATTCCCAGGCTGCAAGGGTGGTTCAACATCTGCAGATCAATCAGTGTGATACACTACATAAATAAAAGAAAGGACAAGGAGCATATAATCCTCTCAACAGATGCAGAAAAAGCATTTGACAGAGTACAGCATCCTTTCTTGATTAAAACACTTTACAGTGTAGGGATAGAGGGAACATACCTCAGTATTATAAAAGCCATCTATGAAAAGCCCACAGTGACTATCATTCTCAATGGAGAAAAACTGAGAGCATTTCCCCTAAGGTTGGGAACACGGCAGGGATGTCCACTATCACCACTGCTGTTCAACATAGTACTAGAAGTCCTAGTCTCAGAAATCAGACAACAAAAAGAAATAAAAGGCATCCGAACAGACAAAGAAGAAGTCAAACTTTCACTCTTTGCAGATGACATGGTACTCTATGTGGAAAACCCAAAAGACTCCACCCCAAAATTGCTAGAACTCCTACAGGAATTCAGCAAAGTGGCAGGATATAAAATCAATGCACAGAAATCAGTTGCATTTCTATACACTAACAATGAGACGAAAGAGAAATTAAGGAATAGATCCCATTTACAATTGTACCAAAAACCATAAGATACCTGGGAATAAACCTAACGAAAGAGGTAAAGGATCTGTACTCTGAAAACTATAGAACACTCATGAAAGAAATTGAGGAAGACACAAAGAAATGAAAAAACGTTCCATGCTCATGGATCAGAAGAACAAATATTGTTAAAATGTCTATGCTTCCCAGAGCAATCTTATCAAAATACTATCAACATTTTTCACAGAGCTGGAACAAATCCTAAAATTTGTATGGAACTAGAAAAGACCCCAAATGACCAAAGGAAAGTTGAAAAGGAAAACTAAACCTGGTAGCTTCACAATTCCAGACTTCAAGCTCTATTAAAAAGCTGTCATCATCAAGACAGTATGGTACTGGCACAAAAACAGACACATAGGTCAATGGAACAGAGTAGAGGACTCAGAAATGGACCCTCAACTCTATGGTCAACTAATCTTGGACAAAGCAGGAAAGAATGTCCAATGGAAAAAAGACAGTCTCTTCAACAAATGGTGTTGGGAAAATTGAACAGCCACATGCAGAAGAATGAAACTGGACCATTTTCTTAAATCGTACACAAAAATAAACTGAAAATGGATGAAAGGCCTAAATGTGAGACAGGAATCCATCAAAATCCTAGAAGAGAACACAGGCAGCAACCTCTTTGATCTCGGCCACAGCAATTTCTGGCTAGACACATTTCCAAAGGCAAGGGAAACAAAGGCAAAAATGAACTATTGGGACTTCATCAAGATAAAAAGCTTTTGCACAGCAAAGGAAACAGTCCACAAAACCAAAAGACAGCCTACAGAATGGGAGAAGATATTTGCAAATGTTTTATCAGATAAAGGGTTAGTATCCAAAGTCTATAAAGAATTTATCAAACTGAACACCCAAAGAATAAATAATCCAGTCAAGAAATGGGCAGAAGACTAGGTGATGGACATTAAGGATGTCCTTAGTGTGTGAGGATCCTCTAGATGTGAAGAAGTAGGGACATAATGGATGTCCATCCATTACACATGATGTAATGAACACTGGGTGTTATATACAATTGATGAATCACTGAACTCTATCTCTGAAACTAATAATATGCTATATGTTAATTAATTGAATGTAAATAAAATTAAATTTAAAAAAAGAAGGGAGAGGAAATTCAATGCTGCTTTTTGATGGTAGATAAAGAGGGAAGGAGGGCAATCATAGCAGGATAGGAACAGGGTTGTTCTGATTGTAGACATGGAAGAGCCTTCTTCAGTCATTTAACAAATACTTATTGGGCATTTATTCTGTGGCAATTTACTCATTCTAGGATACAGTGGTGAGTTGAAAGTAATATGCAAACCCTCATGGAGATTATGTTCTAGTAGAGAAAGCAAATAGAAAGATGAACAAATATCCATGTCAGGTAGCAACAAGTGCTATGGAGAAAATGAATCAGCATGGTAGAAAAGAGAGTGCCGGAGATACTACTGCAGACTGAGTGATCAGGGAAGAGCTCAGACCCACATAGCAAGAAGGCACCAGCCATGCCAACGTCTAAGTGAAGAGAAGTTGAGGCCAAATGAATAACACGCACCAAGGTCTTGGGACAGGAAAGAATTCCACATGTTCAAGAAGCAGGGGAAGACCAAGATAGCAGGGATTACAGACAAGGGAGGAATTGTTTGAAGATGCACTTGGAGAGGTGGGCAGGGCCAGTCCCATGGAGCCTCCATGGAAAGTATATGGGGTTTTGCTAAGTGCTCTGGGAGGCCATTGGAAGGTTTTGAGTAGAGCAATGCCAGGTTTAAGCAGAAGAATGGCAATGAGAAGAGTAATTTGGCTGGAGCACGAGATTTTTTTTGAACAGCAAAAGTCTGAGGCCTGAAATAAGGACAGACTATGGAGGGCTTTGCATCCTGCACTAAGGAGTTAGGACCTTATGTTCCAGGCCTCGGAGAGCTACTGAGGGTATTTTTAGCAGGAGTGACATGATCAAAAACACTGACCTAAAGGTCATACCTAATTCACAGCATGCTCTCCAACATCTCCTCTCAGGACCTTGTTGTGGGTTTATTCAGCAACTTTTAACACATGTGAAACACCTGCATACGCACTGAAACATGTGTGTAAACACTTGTCTCCACAAGTGTAGGAAGATGCCTGGAACCTCGGCATTAGAATTGTAAAGAAAATTGGAAGCTACCAACTCCGTTCAATTAGGAGTGTTTCCGGACTAGCTCTGTGGTGGGCAGGATTCTGAAGCCACATGTGGACCAAGTAGGAAAGGGGATCGTCCTCAGTTAGCCAAGTCAGGATGATACTAGGTCTTTGCTGGCACTGGCTTGAGGCCCTGTCACAAAGTGAGGTCATCTTAAGACAAAGGGTTGACTCTAAAAATGGTGTGCCAAGGCTCCATGCACTTGTGAAGAAGTGTTAGGGAGCAGAGAAGTCTGGTCTCCTCTCTTGAAACCAGTCCAGTTGAGCAGCTACCTGCTTTACTCTTATGTGAGGCCAAGTCCTGGGCATTACTTGAGCTGAAAGAACAAGAACTGCTTGATTTTATCTCCTCGTATCTAACTGGAGAGTTTCAGAAAAATAAAAATTATATTTTTCTTTTTATTAAGGAATCTGTCGATACACTTAAGGTGTTTTAAGCCAGGAGATCTTGGTTTGGTTTCCTGCTTTGCCACTTAACTTTCTATGTGACCCTGAGCTACTGATCTCACATATCTGGGCCTCGTTTTATTCACCTGCAAAGTGGTTGCTTTGACTATATCACTCTTTTCCAGTGGAGCAATCCTCTAGGTGTGAGGAAGTAGGGAGGGGCTGGGTGGTTGTGGCACCCCACCCCTCCACTTTAGGGCACAGAGTGCACTTATCCATGTTTTCCTATGAGGACATTTCTGCAGCTAGAGTAAGAAAAAAGTTGGGAAAAGTGGGAGGTCTCAGAAGGCCCACTTCTAGCTCTCTTTGAGAAGAATGAAATCTGTCCAGAATATATTCCTGGGGCTAAGACAGTGTGCAGAGCGGGTTTAAGTTTAGGTGGTTGTTTATGGTTTTCACACTAGAGCACTCCAACTCACAAGAAAGCAAGAAGAGTGGGCTGTGCATGGAGGGAGCTGCGAAGCCAAGATTGGTGGGAAGCAGAGGAAGAGGCCAGGCCACACAGGCACCCTAGACTTAAAAGGCCACAAAACAGGGAAGTCTCCACCCCTTGCCCTGCTCTCTGGGGCTCTAAGCTGCCTGCTTCTGCACAGTTGCTTGGCGCTAAATTTTCATTTCTCTGACTGGTGCCAAAGAACATCTGCACCTAGAGTTGTAAGGCAAAATTGATTTACAGGTGCAATGCCTTGCCCATCGAAATTGGACGACTTGGTTTTCTTTGTGAATGGGAGAAAGGTAAGTGTTGTGTGGTACTACTGTGGCTTGCAGAGACAGCAGGAAACTACTAGCTTAAGGGCAGTTCTTGTCCAGTCAGGGACTAGGAACCCATCCTAATTTGGCCTCTTGCCCGCTCAGCCAAGGTCTAGCTTCTGAGAATATGGGGAGGTGGTAAAGCATCAGGGTTAATCACACATGCCTTGGCATCAGGCAGTCTGGTTCCAATCCAGCCCTGCCATTTACTGTGTAACTTTATGCAAGTTACTTCAGCTCCCTGAGCCTCAGAGTACTCATCTCTGGAATCTACTTCCTAAAAAGATTAAAAGCGAGATGCTTCTTTCATCTAGTAGGAATCCCCTGGGTCCTTATAAAGCACTTAGCACTGGGCCTGATATCCTGGTAGCACTATATCTAGTAACATATCTTGATCCCCAAGCTCAGGGGGACAAGAAATAGAGCTTTGTTTATTTTTATATTTATCAACTTAATTTTTCTCTCGAGACTTCATTAATCAGAATTAGTTGAAATGTAATTGCCGTCAATTTTCAGTCCCCTTTCCCAGGTTGCAACTAAGTTCTAGGGGGAACCTGTGTGACAAGAAGAGTGGCTTCTGCCATTGTCACTCTCCCCTAGCAGTGCCCACCCCTGTCAGTGCCCACCATCAGGCCGCACAGCTGCTGGTTGACCCTCAGTGCCCTCTGCCAGGCCCGCTCTGCTCATGAGCCTCTATCTCTCCGGGGAACCTTTCTGTAGTTCCCAAAGCATGTGGCTTCGCTGCGCTCTTGCCACCTCCTCCAAGGCCCCTCTGCACTCCAATCCCACAAACCTAACTGGGATTTGGCCTTGTCCACCCTCCCACCCCAAGAAAGGAGATAGAACATAGAGTTCTCCTCATGTGCCTTATAACTCTGTCTCCTGTAACCAGCATCCACAGCCAGTAGCCACCATACATTTTTCCAAACCTTCATTCATGAGCTGAGTCCTAACTCACTTGTTCCACCTGCCTAGGCTTTGGAGTCTCCTTTGTCTATTTTCTGTTCCAAATCCCTTCTGAGTCATGAGCCCAAAATTATTTTGTAGGGGGAGGGTCTACACAAATTCATGTTTTTCTTCTAGGAAGAAAGGAAGACCCTAACATGAGTAGACCACTGTGTCTTCCTTTCCTGTGATGCCACAGAATGGCTGGAGGTGTTTACAGGACACCCTAAGATAAAGTCAAAGGAAATATCCCCAAATAAGCAAGTGGGAAAGAAGCACCAGAGAAGATCCCTCCAGGCTTCTGAGTGATAATCCTCCACTTTTCGAGGAGAGGGAGGGAGAGATTCTAGTGTACCACCAGAGATACCCTGCGTCCTGAGCTGGGACGAGTCTCACCATTAGCCGCTCTGCCATGAGAGGACTGGCACACTCAGGGACCCCTTCAGGATGACAGCAACTCTCCCCACCTCCCATTTCTGCCACCAACTCTGGAGGTCGCTCATACTATCACGTGTGCTCCCCAAGGGAGGTGTCTCAGAAGTGCCAGATGAGCAACTTCCTGTCTAGATGCCTTCCCTCCAGGACCCTGCATTGTACACACACACACGCACACACACACACACACACACACACAGCATCCAAGTCTCTCCCCCGTTTCAAATATTCCAAGAGTACAAAAGACTGAGTTGGAAGATTCCACACACACAGGTAATGGAGCAAACGTGAAGAATGTAACTCCCAGTGGGGGCTTACCCAGCGGTGGCCCCCCACTCTAATCACATATAAAAGCATTGTTGTCACACTTGGTAAGTCTCCAGCTCTGTACACATATATGAAACTTGTTTGCCTTCAGAGCAAAAAAATAAATGGGCAAATGAAAGTATTATACCCGAGTGCCTAAATCAAGCAGGCCACGGCAGACATTACTGTGGGTCACCCTCTCGATCCCCATAATAAATCTCTTTTCTGTTTCCAACGCAGGTGATAGGAATGTGGACCCAGAAGTCACTCTGCTGACCTTCCTACGAAAGAACTGGATTCTTTTGATCAAAATCTGGGCAGTGTCTATGTTTGCCTTAAAACTTAAGCCTGCTATGATTATGAAAACTAATCTAACTTCTCTGTCTCCAGTCGGCCCCGTTGGCCCTTGCTGTCTCTGCTTTTGGCAGTGGTTTTAAGGATAGTAAGTTAATTGGGCTATTTGGAGAGGATGAAGTTTCCCCAGAGCTTCTTATATCTGGATTTAATAGCAATGAAATAGAAGCTAAGCTCTTTACTTCAGCACTAATTATTCCTTTAAGGGCTCTCCAAATCCCCAGGAGGGTGGTTATATAATCGAGGTTTATGTTGCATGTACCCTGTCCTGGCAGGAAACCAGATTCTCCAGATTCAGGAAGAGAATGTGTCATCAGAAAAGATAGTCTTTCCCTACATCCGTTCTCTTATGAGAGATTTTTCCCGACCATTTTATATTCTGAAATTGAGATCTTCATAATGACAAACATTTTAAGTGGTAGGTCTAATGTATCTCTCCGAGAAGCCAAAAGGTAAGTAAAGAAATGGCAGAAATTATAAATTGATGGAGTCAGCCCATGGACAAGTTTTGCTTAAAAGTCCACATGGTGTTTAGTTAGTTATCAATGTTTGAAAATTAGGAAATCTCATATTTTAAAAACTCCAGATTTTTCAGCTTCTCATGAGAAACGAGAAAGTAGTCGTTGCTGCATGGCAGCCGTCTTGCTGAGCAGGGAGGGACTGCCCTAGCGCCCTATCTAGAATGGGCACAAGCTCTCCAGGTACACGCAGCCCACTCCACTCATTTACGTGCCTCTCTGATAAGCATCTGATGTTAGAACTTAGTTTAGATGAACAAGCCTTATGGCTTAAAAAAAAAAAAGTCAGTGATTCTGAAATCTTCTGAACCAGTCGAATGAATTACATCCAATCTCATAAACTAAACTGGCTGGAAGTGGACCACAATTAGGAAGAAGGAGGAGTAAAGAGAGGGGGTGGAGTCTGAGCCTGGATTTGGGCTCTGACTCTGACCAAGCAAGAGCACAGGGACACGTTAGGTGAGATCTGAAAGTAAGGATGGGAGTTTTTGCCAAAGGCTCAGTCACTTGTTTTCAAACCATAAGACTCTTAATTGTAGGAAACAAACTGAGGTTTCCTTGGAGGAGAGGGGGGTGAGGGAACGGGGTAGCTGGGTGATGGACATTCAGGAGGACTTGTGATGTAATAATGAGGGATGGGTATCATATAAGACTGGTGAATCATTGACCTCTACCTCTGAAATTAATATTATATGTTAATTAATTGAATTTAAATTTTAAAAATTAAAAAGAAAAAATAAAATAATTAAAAAACAAAACTAATGCAATACAAATGGACAAAACTAGAATACATTGAACTGCTAAAAATAAGATCTTCTCTCCCAATTACACGATTGGGACCCAGAATACCTATAACGAATTAGGGCTTTTCAAAGGTCTTTTACAGCCATCGTCCTATAAGATGTTCATGATAAGCCTGTGAAGATAAAGTAGGTATTACTTTTCCCTCTTTGCAAGTGAGAAAACTGACAGGAAAGGTTAGTCTGTTCAGTATCACACCACTAATAGGATCTAGAGTGGCCTTTACTGAGACCTGGCAGGCAAATGACTTCTCAGACCTACCCTTCACCCCCCAAAAGAAGACCTTCCTCCCTAGTGACACCCCAGGGAGGCAGCTGTAAGGGGGTGACATGTGTGCCATGCATCTTTTCCCTGAACAGCCTCTCTAGTATGCCTCACAGGAACCAAGTACGCCTGTGGAGGAGGAGGGTGTGGGGCCTGCACTGTGATGGTGTCGAAGCGTGACCCTCTGTCCGCGAAGATCAGGTATCCTACCCAGAAGCCAGAGGCCAGGAGGGCTTTGTTTCTTTGCCAGGCTTGTATTCCCATCTGAGCGCAAAATGTCTCTAAGCCCTTGTGATTCTAACCCTCCTTAGATCTTCAACCCCTCTGAAAATTGGATAAAAGCTATGAGCTCTCTACTCAGAAAGTACATAAACTAATTATATTTTGCACATACTTTCAGGGAGATTACAGACCTCCTAAGGCCCATCTGTGTGGGAATTCATACTGCCTGTCTAGAGAAGATTTAATAAACACATGCCTCCCGGGGTGAGACCAGTTGAAAAGCAAAGAAGGAGTGTCCAGAAAACTGGGCCCCTTTAAGGTTTCTGGGCTGAAAACAGCCAGATCCTCATAGCAGCTCAATGTGCTCATCCAGGGAGTAAATGCTTGACTTCGGAGAAACATTTATCTTTGGCGGTCATGTACTCCATGTACTTCCTGTCTGCACATGCGTCATGAGCACAGCTCGTTCTAATCACACAATACTCCCTAGGCCATTGCCCTGATTTTTAAGATTTCACAGTCCTTCCTGTTTTTCTTATTCCCTTGTTGTGTTGATAACATTCACAATAAAGGTGGGGGCAGACAGAAGCCAGCTTGGGACCTTTCGCAACTAGAGCTTCTGGTCCCCCCTCGCCTTCTCCTTTCTCCTACTAAGGTGTCTGGAGTAATCTTTTCATTCACCACCTCAGGGTTTGCTGGCCAAACCCAACACATCTATGCGTCCCATGTTAAGAAACCCCAATTTAGGCAAACCATTCATTTTACAGATGAGGAAACTGAGGCTTAAAGAGATGAAGTGACTTGTTCAAGATCACACAAGTTTCTAGAACAAGGACTTGAACCCCTACATGTTCTGGTTCTGAAGATAATGCCTTTTCTACTGCTGGGCTGAACCAACCCTGCAGAGCAGGGACCTGGGCCACAATTGCATCCTTTAATTAAGGGCCAGATTCCAGGACTTGGGCTGCCCCCAAATCCACTGGCCCAAGAAATCAAGAAATGGCCTCAGAACACATGTCATTCCACTGTTGAATGAACTTATCCAGAGATTTTAAAATTAACAAGCAAAAAAATTCTCAAATGTAAACATAAAAGACATAAGTGTACCTTTTACCTGTTATGGGGTCAATATCCTAATGAATACTAGTTGAGGTCCAATCATACTCCTGATGACATGAATCCATTCCCATTGAGTCCAGACCCAAGTGGGTCTATATGGGCTTAGAAAGTTTTTCTGAAGTTCAGAATGCCCAGGTTCCCTCTAAGGATCCTCAATTCTTACAGATAGTACAGTGTCAGCAGAGAGGACTCTAAATTCTCCTTCCCTGTCACCCCTCCAGTTCCCCATCCCCCAGGCTGAATGATAGGCTTGGGGAGTTTTCTGCTGCCCTTCTTGGTTCCCAGATTCTCCAAAAGGCAGGACTGTGTTACTCTCCTTGATTTTCCTGTGTTGCTCATATGAAGACACTTCTCCATTACTGCGTGCCTGGTGCCCATCTGCTCTCTGTACAGGGCTGCTGTCACCACCATGGAAGGTGTTGGAAGCATCAACACCAGACTTCACCCAGTGCAGGTAAGAGCACACTGTAATTTTCTCACTTCTTAACTTTTTCTTTTTAACCAACACCGTGTTGACTGTGCTGCCTGGAGCTTCTAGGTTGTAATCAGGTAAGTAGAAGCTTTGGATGCATATTGATCAAGATAATAACACCTAGGTGATTTAAAGAAAGCTGGAAATCCATCCACATTTTATTAGACGATCATCTTTTTTTCTTACTTTTTCCACTTGAATGATAAGCAGGATTATCAAAACATTGATTGATGCCTATGTGACTATAGGCTGCAGTAAATATTGTACACAGGATATTATTCATAGGATAAAATGTCAGAGGCGAACAAGATAAAACTCAGGATCATTCCCTGTGGCATAGGAGGTCTTGAGAGTAAAATCAGAACTGAGGCTGACTGTACCAGAGCACATGGACAATCATTTCTCCAAATCTTAACTTGAAGCTGGAACACAGAGGCTGGTTTTAAGCGTTGGCAGAAAACACATCGACTCCTCTGTCATTGTCACAAAGAAGGGAGCTAGAGAACTGGAGAATCATAGGTCCAGATCCAGCAGTACCGCAGGTGCTTCCAGCAGGAGGAACCCAGAGGGTCTCTGGGTTTCACAACATGAGAATCAATTCCAGGAAAGGTCAGCAAAGGCCAAGGACGCAGCAGAATTTACTAGAATGTCTGGGGAGATCAAAGAGGATAACACTCTGAAATCCAGAACAGGGCTTCCCAAATTTTAATGTGCTAAGAATCATCTGGGAGCTTGTTAAAAATACAGATTCTGAGTCAGGAGTTTTGGAGCAGAGGCCTGAGGTTTTGCACTTCCTGCAAGCTCCCAGGTAGAACCGACAGCACTGGCCCATGGACTACACTTTAAATAGCAAGGATCTAGGACACAGACAAAAATCTTGGCTCTTTGAAAGTAGATTCCTTTTGAGCCAACACAAAAGAATTTAAAGAAGGTAAAGTGAGGTCAACAGTAAATAGTCTCCAAATCAATCAAAAAGAGGTGGCCCCATGGTCAGAATTAAGCTGGACAAGACATGGAGGTATTCAAGAAAATCATTTCTGACACGTACACGTACTTTCCTTATAATTACTGATTTCCAGACAATTCTCTGGGAAGAGAAGCTGCACACTGTCAACTCCCAGTTAGAAGGATCTGGGCATCTGAGCTTGAGAGATGATTATAATGATAGAATATGGCTTCTGGGTCACCTCCTTCAGAGCAGCATAGGAAAGGGGATGCTGGCCATCTCTGAGCCAGGGCAGGGGTGCACTGCTCAGGCACTGGGTTCCAGCATGATAAGGGAGGTGCCAGATGGGGACTCTGGTGAGGAGTGGTGACAACAGAAAGGCCTGTGATCATGCATGTGTCCTTCTAGGAGAGGATCGCCAAGAGCCACGGCACCCAGCGTGGGTTCTGCACCCCTGGGATGGTGATGTCCATGTACACGCTGCTTAGGAACCACCCGCAGCCCTCAGAGGAACAGCTCGTGGAAGCCCTGGGAGGTAGGGCTGACATGGAAAAAAACACCACACGCTTCAGGCTGCTCCACCCCATTCACAAGGTCATCTCAGCCCCACTCAGGGGCCCCCTGGTTGTTTCTAAAGTAGCTACAGCTCACCCAGGAGCAGAGAGGAATGGCAGAGCACTTGCTGGAGAGGCCACACACACACATCTTGACACCTGAGTTCTCTATCCAGTGACTTACTTGGCTGCCTTCACTGGGGCTGTGATAACAGTGTCACCAACTAGGTCAGTTAAAACAACAGGAATTTATTCTTTCACAGCTGTGGAGGCTACAAGTCTGAAACCAAGGTGTCAGCAGGGCCGTGCTCCCTCTGAAAGCTCTAAAAGAGGACTCCTCCTTGCCTTTTCTTTGCCTCTGGTGCTTGACAACCAACCTGGCATTCCTTGACGCATCACCCTAGTCTCTGCCCCTGTCTTCTCATGGGCTTCCCCCCCTGTGTCTGTGTCCAAATTTTCCTCTTCTTATAAGGACACTAGTTCTTATAAGGATTAGGACGGACTCTAATCCAGTATGACCTCAATTTAACTTGAGTATATCTGCAGCGGTCCTATTTCCAATTAAGGTCACATTCATAGGTTCCAGGTGTCAGAACCTCACATATCTTTTTTGGAGGACACAGTTCAACCCACAACAGAGCCCTTCACATATTGAAAGGACGCTTTTAAATTTAAAAATGGGTTTAAGTTACTAGAGAGGAGTACCTAGTCATATCCCTTTTGCAGGATCAATAAACACCATTCTCAGGTGTCAACAGTCTCTAAACAAGTCGCCTGTTAAATACACAGATTCTTAGATTGAGACCTGAAGGGTGAGCACAGACACCCTTGTAATCTACCAGTTGCTTCCTTTGCTCTCTCTGCCCCATTACGGAGAATCATACCGTGCCTTAGAACTGGCCTACGTTTTCTTGTTTTAGGATCCCCTGTATCTTACATAGACACATGTTGAATGAATGAATAAACTAATAGATGAATGCAAGTGAGCTCACCAGATGGATGATCATCTTCTTTAGGACAGAAAATAAAACTGGGATTGATGTGGTGGGAAGGTTCATGTTCTAAGAAGAGGAAAAAAGCATTGGACGGTCTGGCAGATATTTAAACACTCTCAAAAACAACAACAACAACAAAACCTAGGTCTGTTTTAACTTTGGAAAGAAACTAGTGAAAATAAAGCCTACTGATAAGCATGCTTCTTCTCTGATAAGGTAATCTGTGCCGCTGCACCGGGTATCGGCCAATTCTCACGAGTGGAAGGACCTTCTGTGTGGTGAGTAGGTGACTGGGGACACCCTACAGAGCAAGAATGACAGTGACAGCTGGTCAAGGCTGGGAATACAGGGGTTGAACTGTTTAGATCATCTAAACAGACTATAAGGGAGACCAAGTGAGTTAGTTTCAACGGGAGACCAAGTGAGTTAGTTTCAACTGACTCATGAGAATTTTAGCTATTTGTTGAGGATAGGGTGAAAGTTACAACACCTCTGGTGTTCCACACCCCACCACAGAGGGCAGGCAGGGATCTAACCAGGCATCCAGATATCTTCCATCACTAGTTACACGAGACACCAGGACAGCACAGGTAGGAGGGTTCCAGCAAACCCAAGGAGACAAGCAAAGGTGTGGAATTTGCTTTGGGGAGGCAAGGTGAGTTCCAAGAATTCAGACTGGCTGGAAAAGTTTAAGCAGGTAAAGAAACCAAATATGCAGAGTGGAATCCAAAATTCAACCCCAAGTACAAGAGCACAGGGAGTTTCCGTCATAAAGTGGGGTGATGGACGCCTGGGTGGCTCAGTCAGTGAAGCATCTGCCTTCTGCTCAGGTCATGATCCCGGGGTCCTGGGATCGAGTCCCGCATAGGGCTTCCTGCTCGGCGGGAAGCCTGCTTCTCCCTCTGCCTGCTGCTCCCCCGGCTTGTGCTTGCTCTCTCTGACAAATAAATAAATAAAATCTTTTAAAATAATAAAATAAAATAAGATAAAATGGGGTGCTTCACTGGGCTGCTGTGAAGATCAAATGAGAAATCATTTGCAAAGCATGCAGCAAAGTTCTGGCTGGCACTTAGTTGCTACAGTTTCCTGACAATGCTGCTGAGGCAGGATGGATGTGTGCAGTACTGCCCTTATTCCCAAGCAAGGGGGACTCCACATTTGGAAAGGCCCCTTGCTGGTCCCTCCTCCAGCCATTCTCAGGAGACCATGGAGCCAAGGTGACTTGTTTAGCTGGACCCTTCACCCTTTTCTAGACCATGCTCCAGATTTGGTCTTGACCCCATTCCCAGGCCTAACACCAACCTCTTCCTGAGCCCATCTTCCTAGGGCAGATCATAACAGCCAGTGTGTGCCCCCCTAGGTTAGAGGGCAGCCAACAACTGGCTGTTTCTGGAAAGAGTGGACGGAACTGAGGCATTCAGCCCGGGATGTTCACACAGGTGTTTGAGGCCCCTCAGTTCAGAACAGAGCCAGGGTGGGAAGAGGAGGGCAGCAGGCCAAGACCGGGGTATCCATTTATACTCTTGCCCTAGCTCCACAAATAGTAGAGGTGGGCCTGGAAGTGGACCAGCAGGTGTATCCCTCTCCCCAGAGCCAGGCAGCCCCCGTAGGTGCATGTCCTAGACTTCTGCTGCCACACAGGGGAGCCAAAGTTGATAAGCTGAGAAATAAAATGAAAAGCTTGTAAACCCATCAAATTGCCAGTGTAAGTGAAGCACTTGTCAAATATGAATAAAGGAAGTTAAAGGAAACCTCTCTCCCTCTGGAATATGGATGTTATCCACCTTTCCAGGCACAGACTGGGGATAAAGGCAAAAATGTGGTCGGAGACCCACCTGCAGCCAGCTAGCCCCAGGGACTTTAATGGGTGAAAGAAACTGGGCCCCAGTGGAAATACCTGAGGCTCACATCTACTAGGTCAAGAGAAGATGGGCTGTTTCTGTTATAGTTGATTCATGGCCCGTCATGGATGCTCTCAGAGCTCTGAGTAAGAGAGGAAGCTCTGGTCACTGGGCCCAGATGGTTTTGCTTCTTGGACAGTTAGGAAGATGGCAACCTGAGGCATTTGGGCAGAGAACTGGGGTATCGAAAGAAAGTATTTTACTAGATACTGAGGAGAAATTATTTAAGGAAGAAGACACAAGAGGTAAATTTGGAGGAAATGGGAAATGAAAGAACCAGTAAATGGAAACCTGCTGTAAAATTCGATTGTCCATTCATTCTCAGTCAGTCCCATGCAGATCCCAAATGCCTAGAACACCTGGTTCCAAAATAGGTTTTTTCTCCATCTTTCTTTATTTTTTTCTTTTCTTTTGTCTGAAAGGTCCTTATATAAATGATAACATTCAGTGTTGCTAGATCTTATATATTCTAGAGAATGATTAAATCATCATTGCCCTAAAAGGTATATCAATTAATTCTACCGCTAGGAATTCACCTATGAAAAAATTCAGAGACGTACACAAAGCTGTCCATGGAATGAACAGAAATGTTCATATGTTATTTATAGTTATACAATGAAGGGAAAAAACCTAAGTATATAACAATAGCAAATGTTATGAATATATTATAGAATAGCCAGAAGATGGACTTTTATATGATCAGCAAAATTATATTTTAAAGGCATTTTAGATGTATTATATGTTGACTAATTGAATTTAAATTAAAAAAAATAAAGACATTTTAATGATATGGAAAAAGATTCACAATATAAATGAATAAACACATAAATGAACAAAATAATAGGCAAATAAATGAATAAAAAGGCAAAATAAAAAGTATATTGTACTATAAATATAGTACATATATATAATATATAAAAATATTATCAGTGGAATAGGGTAATTACAGTTTCTTTTATGCTTCTTTATATTCTTTATTATTATATAAATAATTATTATTATACTATATATTATATTTTTCTATATATTATACATCATATTTTATATTTCATATAGTCTATATTATCATTTTATTTTTTTTAATTTATTTATTTATTTGAGGGAGAGAGAGAGTGAGCACATGCACACAGAGGGAGAGGGAGAAGCAGACTCCCCTCTAAGCAGGGAGCCTGATGTAGGACTCAATCTCAGGATCCTGGGATCATGATCTGAGCCAAAGGCAGGCACTTAACCGACTGAGCCACCCAGACGACCTAATCATTCTATTTTTGAAATAAAGCAAAAGATCTTGTGATTATCCCTGTTCCAACAGAAACCACTAAAAAAAGTCTGGAGTCACATTTAAGTTGCCAAGACTTTCGAGGCACACACCCATTTACCTATTAAAAAGTTTTTCATCTGGGCGCCTGGGTGGCTCAGTTGTTGGGCGTCTGCCTTCGGCTCAGGTCATGATCCCGGGGTCCTGGGATCGAGTCCCACATCGGGCTCCCTGCTCGGCAGGAGGCCTGCTTCTCCCTCTCCCACTCCCCCTGCTTGTGTTCCTGCTCTCGCTATCTCTCTGTCAAATAAATAAA